CTCGGCAAAGTCTTTGACCAGACCCTCAGTCTCTGCGTTAGAGATGCAGTTGATGCCGGTGACTTCCAGGCCGAGGGCATCAAACCAGTCTAGCCCTAGGAGGCTTGGCCGCTGACCTTCGACCACCACCAACCGGAGCAGGCCCGAAAATCCTTGAAGGCGATCCGGAACCGGCCAACGCCTACCACGGAATGTCGTTTCCCTGGTAGTCTCTCAGGTGTACGCGGTGAGAGTCGAGTTGCCTTTTGGACACTCTGGGTACCAGTCTTTTGATGGTGCTCCATGACACGATGGACAGGGCAGACCCGGTGTCGATCTCCATGTCACATGGAGCTCCTTCAATGAGCACCGTGACGTTCAGCTTGCGTCGCGTAGGCGAGTCGGTTTGACCAATCGTGGTTCCAGACGGGCAGCGGCAAGTTGGTGAGAGCGAAACAACTTTCCTTGGCAGACTGGAGTGAAGACTTGGACTTGCGAGTCGATGAAGGGGGGGTGTCAGACGGAGCCGATCGGCAGACCTTAGCGATGTGGCCCCTTCTGGAACACTTCCTACAGATGGCGTCTCTGAATCGACACTTGGCACGGGAATGGTTGCCTCCGCAGCCAGCACATTCTGGTTGGCCCTTGGACTTCTGTTGGAACTTCCTGCGCTCCCGCTTTGTCTGGTGCACGTCATCGTCTTCACTGGAGGATGCCTCATCACTGCTGGCCTCTTCATGATGCACCGGAACTGGCTCCCTAGCAAGACGCGGGCTGCTGGACTTGTGGATCTCCTGGGCGGAGCGTTCAGCAGCTTCTGAGGCCACAGCCTCCTCAATGGCTTTCTGTAGCGTGAGGTCTGGCTTGGCTAGGAGGCGCCGTTGCAGATGGATGTCCCGGACCCCGCAGACGATTCGATCCATCAGGGCATCGTCTAAGTCTCGGAACTCACAGTGCATTGCAGCCTGTCGCAGGGCGGTGGTGTAGTTGTTGATTGACTCCCCCTCTGCCTGGTTCCGGTGGTAGAACGCATGGCGGGCAGCAATCTTGGACGGCTTTGGTGCGTAGTGGTTGCGGAGCTTCTCTTGGATCGTGTCCCATGGTGTTGCCTGGACTGCTTCAGGCGCAACCAACGCTCGGGCCGTCTCAAACACCTCAGGCCCACAGAGGCTGAGGAATAGGCCCCGCTTCCGATCCTTTGATACTGCTGTCAGCTCGTTGGCTTGGAGGTAGCAGTCGAACCGAGCGAGGTAGGAGTCCCATGATTCAGAGGCTGGCGCAAACGGCGGTAGAGGCACAAGTGAAGCCATGATTACGATGCCGGCGTGAAGGGCGATGGATGGAACACAGTGCTCTAGCCAGAACAGTCCAGCTCTGAATTGGTTCTGCCCAGTGATTTCGCTCAGTGATTCGCTCTGTGATTCAGCTCAGTGATTCAGCTCAGTTCAGAGGCTGGCCGCATCTGGCTGTGCTCTGATGTCCATCCATCCCATCCTCGTCGCCAGTGTTAAGTCGTGGGTTGACATAGCAGCCGGCACAGCGATTTCTTCAAGTAGCTCTTTATTCTGGTAAGCTGGAATAGAACTGACTGCGGAACAGCTCAGGCCGGCCTGTATTTATAGGCAGCCGGCTGTCAACATTGTAACCACAACAGCCCAGAGTTCCCGCCTAAAATAACTGCCGCGGACCTGAGTGAAAACTATCTACAGACCTGAGTGAAAACTATATACAGTATCCCCCTGTTGGCCCAGGGTGAAACTACACTACATAACAACATGCTATTTCCTAGGACCAGTAGGAAACCCCCAGAAACAGATACTATACATAGGAGCATGTCAAACTGCCTTAAACCATGTTCTGTTGAGCTCGGTGCTGTTGACACCAGCCGGCGGGGGTTTTCCAGGGTCTCAAGGAAGGGCCATTCCCAGTCCGACCTGGAAATTCCAGATACCGCATGCAAATAATGTGCTCTAACCACTGATGTTACAGTCCTTCCCATATAATATGCACTGCAAACTACACCTGTCTACTCAGAAGGAAGCCCCACTGAGCTGAATATGGCTTACTCCCAGATAAATGCATAGAGGATTGCAAGCCTTATTGTTCCGTTTACAATGCTCAACCTCAGAAGTGCCACCTGCTTGCAGTGTAAACACAAATCTCTTTTACACAGAAAGGCAGCTTTCAACACCATCTGTTTGAGAGATGGGCACGATTCAATCTTAACTTCTTTGTTGGATTGCATTGAATTCAGATTGGGTTTTTAATCATATGGGGTTTTTTAAGTGACGTCTAATTTTAAAGAAATACATAGGTATGAGATTTAATTTTCTTAAAAATAAAAAAAAGCAAGCCCCCTTTTTTTATCCTCCTGGGTAATGCATACAGAAGGCTTTTTTTTCTTTGCTATGTTTCTAGTGAAAATGCACGGGGATTAAAAAGACGAGAGAGAATTCAGAGAACAAAGGATGATAAAGGGTTGAGATTGCAAGATATATGTGGAAAGGTCAAAAGTACAAGGCATCTTCAGCATACTAGAAGAAAGATGATGGGGGACGTGATAATAGCCTTCAAACACAGAAAAAGCTGCTGCCAGAAAGAACAAGGATAACAATGGCATTCCCGGTCCTTTACCACCAAAGGCAGAAGTGACAGCTGAATGCATTCAGAAGGAATGCATTTTTTAAAAAAGGAAGCAAAAACTGCATAGCTTTTACAATTGATCCAGAAGTAAACCAGTTATCTGAAGCATCAGGCCTGCGAATTCTGATCAATTCCATCTATCGGCTCAATCAACTAGGTCAGAAGTATGGGGCCTTTGGGATCTGGGGAGGAATGTGGCCCTCAAAACATCTCTGTCTGGCCCTCTTGACTCCTCCTAGTTCACCCCACTCACAGGGGCCGACTTTGCTAATCTTTCGCACTATGATGCTCTGTGCAAGGCGGAAATTTTGTGCCCTCAAATGAATCTTCTAATTATGGATCTTCTCGATTTTCCACCCCAGAGCTCGATTCCCTGTGCAGGGGAACTGCCCACACGGCCCCTAAATCTGGTGGTGCCACTCACAGCAATGCCCCTTGTACTTCACACCCCCCAAAGCCCCAGACCTATTTTTCAGCAACTCGGCAGGCTTAATCAACTCTGGACGGGCCGCTGTGTCTATAAATTTCATCCACTTTGGCCAAAAGGGGGAAAAGCTATAGTCACTGCTTAGATTCCATGTTTTAAAGCACGGAGGAACAGAGAGCTCTCATTTTATGCAGAGTGGCTTGGAACCTGGAGTGCAGATTGAAACAGAGAGAGCACAGAGCAACTCAGAAACAGATTGGGATTTTTAAAAATGCACAGATAACAGATGCAAGGCAAATTTAGGGCCCATGCACACCCCTAATATATATAACGTAGATGGAACCTGTTGTCAGTCATCATGCATAAAGATAGCTATGAGAAGGGGGAGAACTGGGGAAAGATGTAGGTTGTAACAAGTGTTTAAAGTTAAACAAGCATAGCAGCAGAATGTACATGAGGGAATTTTATGAGTCCATCTTTAAAGGGAGGAGCTGGTCCATGCCTATGAGGCATGGGC